CCGAGTCGCTCGACTGTGGCAAGCTGCCCACCAAGAACGACCCTAACGCTCTCTGCATGGAGGCCCCCGAGAACGCCTCATCCGCCGAGCCCCACAAGGGCCAGGGGATGCTCCCCGTGGCCCCCCGGCCGTGGCCGCCGGGTGCCACAGAGGGCCGGGGGGCCAATGACCTGGGGGCCTGCGAGAAGTTCCAGTATGTGGAGAAGAGCCTCTCTTGTGCGCCCAGGTGTTCTCCTGGGGTGGACGTCTACTGGTCCCGCGAGGACAAGGACTTCGCCTTCATCTGGATGGCCGTCTGGTCCACCCTCTGCTTCGTCTCCACTGCCTTCACTGTCCTCACCTTTCTGCTTGACCCCCACCGCTTCCAGTACCCTGAGAGGCCCATCATCTTCCTCTCCATGTGCTACAACGTCTACTCCGTGGCCTTCATCATCCGCTCGGTGGCAGGGGCCGAGAACATTGCCTGCGACCGGGAGAATGGCGAGCTCTACATCATCCAGGAGGGGCTGGAGAGCACGGGCTGCACCATCGTCTTCCTCATCCTCTACTACTTTGGCATGGCCAGCTCACTCTGGTGGGTTGTCCTCACCCTCACCTGGTTCCTGGCTGCTGGGAAGAAGTGGGGACATGAGGCCATCGAGGCCCACAGCAGCTACTTCCACATGGCCGCCTGGGGCATCCCGGCCATGAAGACCATCGTCATCCTCACCATGCGGAAGGTGGCGGGGGACGAGCTCACGGGGCTGTGCTACGTGGGGAGCATGGACGTCAGCGCCCTGACCGGCTTTGTCCTCATCCCCCTCTCCTGCTACCTGGTCATTGGCACCTCCTTCATCCTCACAGGCTTCGTCGCCCTCTTCCACATCCGGAAGATCATGAAGACAGGAGGCACCAACACAGAGAAGCTGGAGAAGCTGATGGTGAAGATCGGGGTCTTCTCCATCCTCTACACTGTCCCGGCCACCTGCGTCATCGTCTGCTACTTCTACGAGCGGCTGAATGTGGATTACTGGAACCTCAGGGCCCTGGAGCGCGGCTGCCTGCACCTCCCCGGCCGGCGCGCGGCCAACTGCTCCTTGGAGGCCTCGGTGCCCACCGTGGCCGTCTTTATGCTAAAGATTTTCATGTCGCTGGTGGTGGGCATCACCAGTGGAGTCTGGGTGTGGAGCTCCAAGACGCTGCAGACCTGGCAGAGCCTTTGCAACAGAAAGCTGGGTGTGAGGACGAGGGGCAAGCCCTGCAGCGGGGTGAGCTGCGGGGGGGTGCACTGCCACTACAAAGCCCCCACGGTCATGCTGCACATGACCAAGACAGACCCGTATCTGGACAACCCGACGCACGTCTAGAGCTGGGGCTGCCCCCTCCCTGGGGATGGCACGCCAGGGGAAGCTGGCCTCACGGGTAAGGGGCGAGTGGGACGCTGCTGGGGGCAAAGGCAGAGGGCGAGCGGCGGCGGGAGGGGGCGCACGGTGGTTTGGGGTGGCGAAGCCCGCGGGATCTCCTCTGGCACTGCTCGACTCTGACAAGTAGCTGCTTTTTCCTAGAGGTTGTTTTGTTGTTGTTGCCGTTGCCAAATCCAGTGACTCTTCTAACGCTTTCTTTGGGGGGGGCAGTGGGGACGGGGCAGGGAGGGGAATAATCCAGTCCGTGTTTATTTAATTCTGTAATTTATTTTAGATTTTTTTTTTTTAATCATTAGCTGCGAGGAAT